TTTTGATTTCCTTTGATTCTATTGTGACATTGTCCATGTGATTTTTAATGCATGTTATTTGTGTCTTCTCTTTTGTTTTGTTAGGTTTGCCAATGGTTTTTCAAATTTATTAATCCTTTCAAAGAACCAGATTCTTGTCCTGTTGATTCTTATTATAGTTTGTTTGTTTTCTATCTCATTTATTTCTGCCCTAATCTTTATTATTTCTTTTCTTTTTGGTGACTGCAGATTCCCTATGTTGGTCTGTTTCTAATTATTGGAGATGCTGTGTAATTGTGTTAATTTTGGTTCTTTCTTCTTTTTGGATGTGTGCATTTATTACAATAAATTGTCCTCTCAGCTGTGTCCCAAAGATTTTGGTATGTTGTGTTTTTATTCTCATTTGTTTCTAGGAACTTTGTGAATTCACATTTTATTTCTTCTACTATCCAGTCGTTTTTCAGCAGGGTGTTTCCATGTATTTAACTTTATTTCCTTGTCTTCCTATTGTTGATTTCTAATTTGATAGCATTGTGGTCTGAGAAGATGCTTAGTAATATTTTGATATTTGTAAATTTGTGGAGATTTGTTTTGTGTCCTAACACATGGTCTATTCTGGAGAATGTTCCATTTGCACTGGAAAATAATGTGTATTGTGCTGTTGTTGGGTTGAATACTCTGCTCATATCTATGAAGTCCAATTAGCTGATTGTGTTGTTTAGTTCCTCTGTGTTTTTGTCAAGTTTCTGTTTGTTCTATTCTTTTTCGAAAGTGGTGTATTTAAATTGTCCACTATTTTTGTAGATTCATAAATTTCTTTCTTCAAATCTATAGGAGTTTGCTTTATATATTTTGGAGCTCTTTCATTGGGAGCATAGATCTTTTTTATGGTTATGTCATCTTGTTCAATTGTCCCTTTAATCATGAGATAATGTCCATCTTTTTCTATTATGCTGTTTTGCCTTAACATTTATTTTATCAGAGATTAGTATTGCCACTACTGTTTGTTTTTTATTTCAATTAGTTTGGTATACTTTTTTCCATCCTTTGTATTTTAGTCTGTTCTTGTCTCTGTGTAAGGTGTGTTTCTAGCAGCCAGCTTATTGAAGAATCTTGTTTTCTTATCCATTCTGTCACTCTCTGTCTCTTAACTGGTACATTGAATCCATTTACATCCAATGTAATTATGGGTAGGTATGGATTAATTGCTGGCATTTGTTTGTTCTTTTGTGTGGTGCTGATTTCTTTGTTCTGCATATCTTTCTGTGCTGAGTTCAAGTTTTTTGTGTTCTTTCTTGTGAGTTTCCTCATAGTTTTAATGTTTCCACATTCTTCATGGATTTTCATTTTCTTGGTATGTTGTGAAGTATTATTTTTTTCTTTGAGGTTACCTTATATTCCATTAACTTTTCCCTCCATTTAACACAGTCTATTTTATACTGTAATCTACCTGACCTTCTCACCTCCTGGATCTCTGTTCCTATGTGTTTACCTTCTTTCACATTGTTAATTGTTTTGATCATAGACTGACCTTCCCTTTCCTCTGAATCTGTTCTTATAGTTTTGCTCTGTTCTTGACTCTTCCATTTTTTATTGAGTTCTGGGTGGTGCTGCGATGTATGTCAATCTCTGTTATTGTATGTCCTTGTTGGTTCTCAGTTCACAGAACTCCCTTTCAGATGTTTTACAGCACAAGGTTGGCTTTGGCAAAATCCCTTAACTTCTGTTTATCCTAGAATGTTTTGATTACACCCTTGTATTTGATTGACAGCTTTGCTGGATAAAGGATTCTTGGTTGACAGTTTTTTTTTTGTTGTTTTTTTTTTTCTTTCAGGGTTTTATATGTGTCTCCCCATTGCCTTCTTGCTTGCATGTTTTCTGATGAGAGATCTGAGTTTAATCTGACATGCTTGCCTTTGTATGTTACACTTCTCTTTTCCCTAGCTGCTTTCAGGATGCTTTCCTTATCTTTGAATTTGGAAGCATAGTGGTTACGAATCGGGCTGCGAACCGCAAAGTTAGCAGTTTGAAACTACCAGCTGTTCCGTGGGAGAAAGATGAGGCTTTCTGCTCCCATAAAGATTTACAGCCTCAGAAACCCTGTACAGGGTTGCTATGGGTCAGAACCGACTTGATGGCACATAACAACAACAACAACAATTATCATATGCCTTGGTGATTTTCTTTTAGTGTCTATCCTTCCTGGGGTTGTGAATTCAGTGAAAGTTTATAGGCAAACTTAATAGGAATTTTCTGTATGACCAAGTACATTTAAATTCATTATTAAAAGGAGATACTGTCTGGTACAGATACCAACTACATTATATAAAACTGCTTTACATACATAATGCCAATTAAAAGTAAGGTTCTCCCTATAAATCACTGAATTAATACAACATTAAACATATATATTTTTTCAAATAAATGTATTGCAAATGTAAAGGCCTGACTGCTAATTTACAAAGGATGCTGTGGGTTAATGAGCCAGACTGCAAAGCTGTTTGAACTGTAAGGTTGGCGGTTCAAGCTCATCAGCTGCTCCTCAGAAAACCTATACAGGGTCGCTAGGGGTTGGAATCAACTCGACGGTACTTAGCAACAACAATATTAATAATTACTTGTGCTTTAGTTTTAAAACGTTCTTTATTAAGATACGATTTTATAATATTCTTTCTTTATGGTGGCTGCTTTTAGATGCTTTAAATTTTTCTCTCTGTATGGTTTTATTTATATTTACATTATAAATTAATTACATTATTGATAGTGAAAAATGATATTTTCTTGGATGTAAAATGGAAGAGTATATTGCCTCACAGGGGAGAGATTTTAAATTAGATACAGATTTTTCTTTTGATAGTTCATGAATTGCATGAGTTTATTGTTGCTATTAGGTGCCATATATTTGGTACTGACTCATAGCAACCTAATACACAACATAACAAAATAATGCTCTGTTCCATGCCAACCTCACAACCATTGCTAGTCTTGAGGTCATGGTTGCTGCCACTATGCCAATCCATCTCATTGAGGGTCTTCTTCCCCTTTTTCTTTCAAACCTCCACTTTACCAAACATGGTATCCTTCTCCAGGGACGTTTCCCTCCTAACAATATGCTCGGAGTGAGAGACGAAGTCTGGCTAAAGCACTCTGGCTGTACTTCTTCCAACACAGATTGGTTTGTTCTTTTGGCAGTCCATGGTACTTTCAATATTCTCCTCCAACATCAAAACTTAAATGCATCAATTCTTCTACAGTCTTCCTTATTTACTGTCCAACTTTCACATGTGTATGAGGTTACTGAAAAATACCATGGCTTGGTTCAGGCTCATCTTAGTCCTCAAACTGACATCTTCACTCTTGAACTCTTTAAAGAGGTCTTATGTAGCAGATTTGCAATATGTCGTTTGATTTCTTGACTGTTGCTTCCATGAGTGTTGATGGTTGATCCAAGCAAAACGAAGTCTTCTACAACTTCAGTCTTTTCTTAATTTATTTGGGTGTTAGTTATTGGTCCAGTGGTGAGGAATTTTATTTTCTGTACCTTGAGTTTCAACCCATACCAAAGGCTACGGTTTTTATCTTCATCAGTAAGTATTTGAAATTCTCTTCACTTTCAACAAGTAAGGTTTTATCAATATATCATAGGTTGTTAATGAGTCTTCCTCCAATCCTGATGTCATGTTTTTCCTCATATAATCCAGATTCTCGGATTATGTGCTCAGCAAACAGACTGAATAAGTATGGTGAAAGAATACACCCCTGGTACAAACCTTTGATAACTGTAAACCATTCAGTGTTCCCTTGTATGAGTTTAGTGAACTGAAACTATTTCCTTCTCTGAATAATTGGAATGTAAAGGCATATCAGAAAGTAATTATTCAATAAATATTCTTATTATTACTAAGTGAACTCTTCACAATTGTTCCAGTTATTTGTTGTTCAATAAGGGATAATTTTTGCCTCAATTTATTTCAATTTTTAAATATTCTAATTACCAAATTATTGTTACAGTGACTGACCAATTAAGATTTAGTTATGCTATTTATCACTGTTACTTATATCTACTTAAAATAGTTTATAATATAAATAATAATTATATAAGAATAATCACATGAGTTCACATGTAATACCTATTCTTTGATAGTTATTACAATACAAAATATACTTGTGCTAACTATAATTACCCAGGAATAAATCTTTTTATAATTTATTGAAACCTGATTTAACATACAAGGGTTTTACAAAGCAGACCTTGAATTGTGCACAGTGTAAACGACCTTTCTTTAGTCTACATGGCTAGAATTAATAATCATTTGCTTTCGTTTTATTAAAAGACTATATTAAACATTTAACTAGAATTAATGTGCTGACAATACACCTTAGTAAGTTAGGAGCTCAGTGAATTCGCTTTGTCATGCATTATTAACATACCATCTGGGAAGTCAGGATGGCTGAGTTGTAGATCTTTGCAAGTTCGGGCTGGATTGGTCTGAGTACCCATTGGAAATTTCATATGTTCAATATCTTGTTTGAGAGAATTGAGTGAACCAAATATTTCCTCCATTCCATCTGAATAGTCAAGAATATTATCACCTGCATCTGCTTGCATGTTTTCAGTATGCCTTCTTGTTTTTTTGGATGACAAGATTGGTAAAGGCTGAATGACTTCACCAGGTGGACCCTGCAAAGGAAACAATCTATGTGAACTTGTTTCATAAATTAATCACTTCTGTACATATTATTGTTACTGGTTATGTCATTGTTAGAAGAAACCAAACTTGGTTTAGCTTACCAAAACCAAAGTTGGTTTTCCTTAATAGCTATATAATCAATTTGTAAGATTCTATTTATATATTAAAAACTTAACCCACTGCTATTGAGTTCACTGGGACTCAGCGATCCTATAGGACAGAGTAAAACTGTCTCATTGGATTACCAAGACTGTGATCTTTACTGCTACATCTTTATCCTGTAGAGTGGTTAGTGGGTTCAAACCATCAGCTTTTTGGTTAGAAGTTGATCACTTTAACTACTGTGCCACCAGGGCTCCTTCTGTTTTTATAACCAAACCCAAATTCACTGTCATTGAGTTGAATCAGATTCATAATGATCCTATACAGGGTTTCTAAGTCTAACTCTGTACAGGAGTGAACAGTCTCATCTGTCTAATGGAGAGCAGCTGTTGGGTTTGCACCAAAGTCCTTTTGGTTAGATACTCAATGCCTAATCCATAGTGCCACATGTCTGTGTGTGTATATTGTGGCACCTTAGGATAATCGCTTGACCACAAGGTCCCTTTGAACTGCAAGGTCGGTGGTTTGAATTCACAAGCAGCTCCTTGGAATCCTATAAAGGGTCACAATGAGTTGGAACTGACTTGATGGCACTTATCAACAACAACAGATAGATAGATAGATAGATAGATAGATAGATAGATAGATACACACACACACACATACATAAGGAGCTCTGGTAGCGTAGTGGTTATGAATTGGGCTGTAAAACCTTAATATTAAGGTCAGTAGTTTGAAACTACCAACCATTCCACAAGAAAAAGATGAGGCTTTCTGTTCCTGTAAAGATTTATAGCCTCGGAAATCCTGTACAGGATCATTATGGGTTGGAACCAACTCAAAAGTACTTAACAACAACATATATATATATAATGTGTGCTCTCCAGTCAGTTCCAACTCATAGTGACCCATATAGAGTTTCCAAGGTGTAAATCTTTATGGGAACAGAAAACTTAATCTTTTTCTCTTGGAGCTGCGGGTAGATTTGCACTGCTGATCTTGCAGCTAGCATGCCAACTCCAACACATAACCCACTAAACCACCAGAGTTACTATGTTGTTGTGTCATTGAATCGGAATGCAAACAGCAAACATGGAAGTTCGAACCCACCTAACACTGCTCAGAAAACCTACACATGGTTGCTATGAGTCATAACCTACTGGATGGCACATAACTATATATAATTATTATAATATTTTCCTTTGTTAGTTATTTAAAAAGAAACTAGTAGGGAGTTTTGAGGTAGGTGCACTTATCAGATGATTTCTGGCCCTTTATCTATATCCTGGAGTCCTGGTGTGATACTTCAGGATAATGAGCTGAACTGCAAGGTCAGTTTAAACTGAAGGTCAGGGGTTCAAACCCACCAGTTGCTTCTCAGAAATGTCACACAGGGTTGCTATGGGTTGGAATTGACTCTATGGCATTTAACAACAACATCTATATTCTTTTGTGGCATTGTAGGATAACACTACAGTGCTAGTCACAAAATTGCCAATTCAAACCTACAAGTAGTTACTCAGAAACACTATACAGAGTTGCTATGAGTCGAAACCGATTTGATGGCACTTACCAATAATAATCTATACAAAAAGGGGCCCTAGTGGTGCTGTGGGTTAGGCATTGCACTGTGAAGTTCAAACCCACCAACTACTCGTTGGGAGCAAGATGAAACTGCATACATTAAGTCTTGGAAATCCTACCTAGGGTTGTTGTAAGTCAGAATTGACTTCATAATCTATACAAATGGAGTCCCTGACAAACGTAAACAGTTAACATACTGAGATAATAAAAGACTTCAGGCTTGAGTCCATTCTGAGGTACCTCAAAAGAAAGGCCTGCAATTTATTTTTGCAAAATCCACAATTGAAAACTCTATGGTATACAATTCTATTTTACCAAACATTGGATTATTATTACCCGGAACCAACTTAATGGCAACTAATTATTGGCTATCTATACAAGTAATGCAATACAGATGTGTGTAGGCATATGTATATATATAATGTTGCTGTTCATTAATTTATACACATTTATATGCCCTATCTCTGATTTTAAAGTCTCTAAGGAATAACTGGTGATAGGTGTCATCAAGTCTGCTCAGACTCATAGCTCAGACTCTCACAACAGAACAAATCACAGTGCAGTCCTGCACCATCCTCACAACTGTTGTTATGTTTGAGTCCATTGTTGCTGTAACTGCCAATCCATCTTGTTGTGGTCTTCTTTTGTGCTGACCCTCCACTTTACCATTCATGGTGTCCTTCTCAAGTAACTGATCCCTCCTGATAACATGTCTGAAGTATTAGAAACAAAATCTTATCAATATGGCTTCTAAGGAGCATTCTAACTACAATTCTTCAAAAACAAATTTGTTTGTGTTCTGGCAGTCTGGGGTATTTTCAATATTTTTCTCCAACATCATAACACAAATGCGTTGATTCTTCTATGGTCTTCCTTATTTATTGTCCAACTTTCACATGCATATTGAGGCATCTGAAAATACCATAACTTGGGTAATGTACACCTAGGTCTTAAAACTGATACATTTGCTCTTGAATCCTTTGAATAGGCCTTGTGCAGCAAAATTTCTGACTGCAATGTGTCATTTGATTTCTTGATTGCTGCTCCCATGGGTATTGATTGTGAATCCGAGCAAGATGAAGTCGTTGACAAATTCAATTTTATCTACATGTATTAGTCATTTTATACGTCATTTATTGATTCAGTTGTGACAAATTTTGTCTTTCTTTATATCGAGGTGCAATCCACACTGAAAGACATAGTCTTTGGTCTTCATCCATAAGTATTTCAAAGTTCCCTTTGCTTTCAGCAAGCAAAGTTTTATCATCTGCACATAAGAGATTGCTAATGAGTCTTCCTCCAGTCCTGATGTCACAGTCATCTTCATATTTGTTTAGCATACAGATTGAATAAGTATGATGAAAGAATATAGCCTTGGCACATACCTTTTCAGATTTTAAACCATTCAGTATTCCATTGTTCTGTTCAAACACCTTTGTCTATGTACTGCTTCTTTGTGAGCACAATTATGTTTTCTGAAATACTCATTTTTCACAGTATAATTCACAGTCTGTCATGATCCACACAGTGAAAAACTTGTATAGTCAACTAAACACAAGTAAACATATTTCTGGTATTCTCTGCTTTCAGCCAAAATCCACCTAATGTCAGCAATGATTTCCCACAATCCATGTCCTCTTCTGAATCTATCTTGTTTCTATGGCAGTTCTCTGCCAATGACAGCTTAAAAACTGTTGCAGCCATTTTTTAATTATCTTCAGTAAAATTTTACTTGCATGCAGTATTAGTGATACTGTCTGATGATTTCCACATACCATTGAGTCACCTTCCTTTGGAATGGGCACAGTTATGGATGTCTTCCAATCAGTTGGCCAAGTAGCTGTCTTCCAAATTTCTTGAATATATGAGTGTGTTCCTCCAGTGCTGCATCAGTTTGTTGGAAGATTTCAATTTGTGTTCCGTCAATTCCTGGAACTTTGTTTTATGCCAACACCTTCAGTGCAGGTTGAACTTCTTCCTTCAGTACCATCAGTTCTTGATCATACACTAGCACTTGAAGTGGTGCACTGACCATTTCCTTTTGGTACAGTGACTCGATGCCTATCTTCCATCTTCTTTTGATGCCTTCTGCATCATTCATTATTTTCCCCATAGAATCTCTCAATGTTGCAACTTCAGGTTAGAAATTGTTCTTCATTTCTTTTTTCTTGAGAAATGCTGAGTGTACCCTTTGCTTTTTATAACTCCAGGTCTTGGCACATTTTATTAAAATATTTGACATTGTCTTCTCGAGTTGCTCTTTGAAATTTTCTGTTTAGCAATTTGTCTTCCTCGTTTCTTCCATTTGCTTCAGCATTTCTACCCTGAAGAGCAAATTTCAGAGTCTCTTCTGACATACATTTTAGTCTTTTCTTTCCTCTCTGTATTTTTAGTGACCTTTTGCTTTCTTCCTGTATGATGTTCTTGATTTCATCTCAATGCTCTGCTGATCTTGGGTCATTAGTGTCTAATGCATCAAATCTGTTCTTAAATGGTCTCTAAATTCAAGTGGGATATCTTCAAGATTATAATTTGGCTCTCTAAGGAAAAGAACATTTAAATGCTCTTGTCTACTGAGTTCTCTATTATGCTTGATAGTAATTCATATTATGACATTTAAAACTTTAAAAATATGCACACATTAGGTCATTTCAAATATTTATGACTTTAGTCTTTATCATTCAACAAAGTTAAAACAATTATAATATGAACTTCAGTGTACACTTGTGAAAGATATAACTAATTTAAATAGTTAACCCACATAGAAGCACTTGAACACAAGGAAGCAGACTAAAATTCCTTTTATATAGATCTGTATGTTTAGTATAAGATTTAGCAGTTGTGCAATCAGTGATCCCTGGGCAATATCAATATCAGTAAATTCTGTTTTTACTGATTCAAGTGATCCTGTATGGTGGCTTCCAAGGAACAGCTAATGGCTTGAACCACCAACTGTGCAGTTAACAATACAATGTTCATCTTAGCTATCTTTTCATTAGAGTCCTGGTAGCACTATGGATAAGCACTTGACTGCTAATGGCAAGGTCAGCAATTGGGTGCTGTGGGTTAATGCTCTGGACTGCCAAGTTGGCTTGAACCGCAAGGTCGGTAGTTCAGAGCTCACCAGCTGCTCCTCGGAAACCCTATACAGGGTCGCTAGTGTTAGAACCAACTTGATGTCACTTAACAACAACAAAAACAAGCCACGCTGGGGCTAATGATGAGGCTGTCTTCTCCCATAAAGCTTTACAGACTTGGAAGCCTTAGAGAGAGTTGCTATGAGTCTTAGGCGACGACTTGATGGCAGTGGGTTTGGTTTGGGATTATTACTGCATTTATTATTAGCATCGTATGCACTAGGATAAAATGGCAAGCCTCTGAGTTTTTGTCTTTATTCTTGGTTTCAGACATAACTGTATCTTTGTGCCATACAATCAGTTAATTTGATTAAAGTGTGACAAAAAATATCATATGATTCTCTTGAAAAATGAGTAAGTACCACATTATCATAATGTATAATTGTTGTTGTTGTTAAGTGTTTTTGAGTTGGTTTTGACCCAGCGACCTTGTACAGGGTTTCCAAGAAGAGCTAGGTGGTTTTAAACCTAAGACCAGGACTCCAATGCATAATTAAGGCATCTTTATTTAAAGGTGTAAAAGCAATTAAAAACACCTTGATATGCAGATCTGATTATTTCACTGCTGTAGTTGCCACTTCCTACCAAATTAGCACCTTTGTCAGTGGATTTTTCTGTAAGCTTCGATCAATCATTGGCAGGCTCAGAATATTAGCATATACTTACTGGAGGTCCAGGAGGCCCTGGAAGACCACCTTCACCTTTCTGCCCAGCAGGTCCCTGTCAGAAAGAGAAAGGAGCAGAGTATATTTCATATATAAAGCATTTGAATAAATATTGAAAACTTTAAGTGCCAAAGGGAAAATACTTACAGTAGAGCCTTTGTTTCCCTTTGGACCTTGAGGACCCTAGAAAATGCAAAGACAAAAGAACAGATCAAGATCTGGGGAACTTATGTATTTTGGTCAATTAATTCTATCTTGTAAGGTTTTGTTTTGTACTTACAGGTAAGCCAGGAGGTCCAGGTGGACCTAAGGGACCAGCAGGTCCAGGGATTCCCTAAAGAGAAAAGAATCCAATTTAAAAGTTATTGTCAGCTACTCCTTCTTCTTACATTGCACAAGGTAACAAAAAACATTGTAAAATTTAGAAAGTAAAAAACACTTAAGAATAACCTAAAATCATTTTTCCATGGTAACTCTAAGAAATAAGATTTACAAGATAATCTGAAACTTTGGTTCCCTTGCTTCAGTGTCCAGAAAAGTTTTTGTTTTGTGTATCTTTCTATCCCTACAGAAAAATAAGTGGTATGTAGTAAGGATTCAATAAGTGTTTGCATAATTCATTATTATCTGTAATTTATATGAGTCCTAACTTAAATCTTATTTTTAACTTATTTGCTCAGAATTTACCTAAAAATCTATTTCTGAAAATGTCAATGGTTTAAGCAGATTAAAATAATGAGGCTCTACATTATCATGTCTAAAGAAATACTTGCTATGTGTACATGTCTGTGTGTCTGTGTATATGAGAGTGAAAGAGGAGAGATCTTACAAAGCAGTAGGAAGGTCATTCAGAATTTTACTCACTCCATCTCCCTTTGCTCCTGGTGATCCTTGAGTTCCAGGGAGCCCTCTGTCACCCTTTTCACCTTGTTCTCCTGGAGGTCCAATCAGGCCAATTAAACCAGGATGTCCCTTTCGAAGGCAAACAAAAGAATGCTTAATAATATATCAATCACAGCTATCTACATTCTAATTATAAAATATTTGCTCATTAAATTTTTAAAGCATTAAAAAAATTAGCTAAAAAAAGTTTAAAATAACTTTTTTTTTTAAATGGAAGATACCCTTAAGACTTCCTGCCCCTCATATAACAGGATCATTTACTATTCACATAAGGGTAGACCTTCTTTAAGGTAGGAAGTATTATGGAATGAAATACTTTCTAAAAATACAATAATCTGTGGGGTTTCTGTTACGGGGAATTTCCTCAACTAAAAGACTACATGTAACACTGGCAAAATAAACAACAAAAATTCATTACTTTAATAAGCATTTCATTTTATATGAAAGGGTTTCTATTCTTCAGAGATTTTGCAATCTTTGAATCCCATTTGGAAACTTAAAAAATAATCCAAATAGTATTAATGCCATTCTGAAAAAAAGTCTAATTTCTTTCATTATTTTGTGGATCTCAGCATTCATTTTGGAAATCATCTTACGATTCATTTGTCTATCTTTTAAGCAAAACTTTCAAGCTAAAAATATAATTTTTATTTTGTTATTCCATCTGTTTATTTTCTGAACAGCTATTTTAGTATAACCATACATTTCTCCTTATGGTTTTTAGAAGTGGGCATTAAGAATACTGAATTCTAGTATAGTTCTCACTATTGCTTTGCAGTTTTTCTCTTCTCTAAATACATCAGGGAACCTGGGGATTGACACATTGTTCCTGGTTAACATGTCAAAGCTATTCTTTGCAATTTCCTTTTGATAGACTTGCCTCTGGTATTCAAATATCAAAATTATAATACATTCCTTGATATTCTCACCTTCTCACCCTTTGACCCGGGATCACCTTTGAGACCAGGTAAACCAGGAGGTCCCTAAATGATGAGAAAAAAAAAACATATAATAGAGTGTAGGTCTGCATTAGACAATCTTATTACTATTTACAGAATTATTATGGTTTTGAAAATTATCTGAGAGAGTTGAAAAATAGTAAAAAATGATCATTGTTATTTATTTTTCAGGATTTAAAATAAATATATATGCTTAAAAGATATGGTTTAATATGCAACTATAATACTAGCGGAATCCCGGTGATATAGTAAGTTATACATCAGACTGCTGAACCGACTCGACGGCACTTAACAACAACAACAAACATCAGACTGCTAACCATAAGGTCAGCAGTTCAAATCCACCAACTGCTTAAGATTTACACAGTCTTTTGCTACGAGTCAGAATTGACTCAACAGCACCTAAAAACAACATAATATTGATAAATTTGTTAAAATAAATATTAAAGTAGAAATAAGGCATGCTTTATGTGACTGTCAAATTAAAAAGAAAGGGCAAAGTTTTAATTACATTAACTTTAGAAGAAATTCAATATGTACTTCAAATATTTCTGTGCTAAACTCAAAAGGCACTAATCTGTTCAGTAAAGACTTTAAATAATCTCATTTAAATTTTGACAAAAAATGAATTTTTGGTAATTACACAAACATTTTAGACAAATATCTTAATAAACATTATTCTTGTATTTAAATAACAATTGTATTTTCTGACTGAATTATTGCTTAAAATTCTGCAGGATAATATGATACTTTTAAGTACGACTGAGGTGGTTCAGACTCATGGTAACCCGGTGTAGGCTTTCAAAGGCTTTAAATCTTCAAAGGAGCAGAAAGCCTCATCTTTCTCCTATGGAATGACTGGTTAACTCGAACCATGGACCTTGTGGTTCACAGTCCAGTGCTTATCTTATAAAGCCACTGTGCTCCAATTTGTGTATATATGAATTTAAAACAATGGTTCTGTAATTATATTAGTCTGTGGTAACTTTTTTGAATTCTAACTAAAATTCATATTCTTTGCTCACATGAAAATAGACATAGAGCTATAGAAATAGAAAGAGAGATGTACTAAAAATACATACTAATTATAGCAACATCTAACTTGTGCAGGGTACATCAGAGGTTACAAAATTAGTTTAATAACGCATCTTCTAAAGTACCAAGAATCCAGATGAAGTACCTATTTGTATATAGTTTACTTTTGAGAAACTGGGTCTCTGGCTTCAAGTCCAAAATTACTTTACTAGATAATTATTGTTGGTGTAGTGAAGTGATGATGAGTTGGTTCTCACTCACAGGGACCCTGTGTAGGGTTTCTGAAGAGTGACTGGTGGTTTTGAACTATCAACTTTGCAGTTAGTTGTCCTGTGCTTCTTCTACAGCACTACTCCAAAAACCAAGAAGACAGTGCACATAGGGAGACAACACAAAGGACATTTCAAAAGAGCAGTAATTCAAATGATCAGACTTCTGAAAACAGTGAGTCTTGGAGTCCTCAAACACAGAATTTTTGCGGGAAGTGAAAGATCTGATTATGCTCCTGCTGGCAACACATCAATATTCCAATCACTGTTTCACAGGCTCAAATCTACCCTTCATTAGCTGAGTGATCTTGCATAAGTTATTTATTATATCTAAGTTTTATTTATAAAAGTATTCTAATAATAACAATCTGTCATAAGTATTGTAAGGAAAAAGGAAAGCAGATAGACAAAACCATTGCAAAAATAGTGAGGTTTTTTTTTTTTGCAAACAGTCATCAGTACTGCTATTATATTTAACTATGCTAGAGATGGGTATCTCTCAATTTCCTTAAACCATTTTAATAGTACAAGATAAAATGCCATTCCCCCCCCACCACCAAAAAAAGAGAGAGACAGATAGAGAGAAAGAAAATGAAAAAGCAAAACTAGGAATATACAGTATTAGATGTTATCTATGGTTGTAACATATTATAAAATTGTCTCTATTATTCATGAAGGAGTTAATAGGAAAAGAGTATTAATTCTTCTAAACTAATAATATGAAGGTATGAACTAAATTTAAGAAGGAATTTGCCAAACTATTCCATTTATTACTACTTTATCATCTGGAAAAAATAAATTGACAAAACAATTATTGATAGCAGTTATAAATAACTCCTTGAACTTGAAACAGATCAAAAGTATCAGTTCTGAATATAAAAATGTTAATCCAGGGATGGTATATGTATTTCCTATTTCATCTTTTTGGGAATATTGTAAATTGAAAAACTCCAGGGAAATACATAATTCATAAGTAATAAAATAAAATGGAAAACAGGGATGATACATTCTTAAATGTCTTGAATACATAATCAAACATTTTCCCTTGCAGTATTATGCTTTAGAGAATATTTGCTTTGATATGCATCTAAAAACTTTAGTGTATTAAAGTTTAAAGCAACTCCAGATCATCATACACTATATTTAGAATGTAAAATTGTTAAAAATGTTTAATTTGGTGAAAAAATAAAAGCAAGTGTTTTATTTTTTTAAAGCCTGTTTAATCACTATGGAATGGTAGGCATTAAAAAAAATTCTTCAATTCAATTAAATTATAAATACTTCAATTCAATTAAATAATAAATGTTCTTCATTCAGGCTTTTTTGGTTTGAAAAATGTTATCAGATATTTTATTTAACAGTCTTGAAATTAATAATGTATAATAATGCTAAATTAAACTCATCTAAAGATAAATACTGAATAAATTTTCAGCTGCATTTTAAACTAACAAGCAGTTTAAAAATTATACATCTATATGGCTGAACAAACTAGAACCTTTCAAACTAAAAAAAGATTAAGTGCAGTACCAATGATATTCATTTTTATAATTATTAAATCATGCTAATTTTTACTTTGAGGCAAAGGGCAGATTTTAGTCACAGCTATTCTTCTGTAATATGTTAAAATGCTCACTTATTCCCATTTAATATTTGCTGAAAACATAAAAAAGCACTCTAATGGAATTCTTTATAATTTTATTATTGTAGTTATTTTTTTCTTCAGCTCCCATGAGCTATTCACCTGTATTCAGTTCAGTATGGTAAATGTATACATTAAATGAATGCATATATTCAAGGGTGTCAAAACTTTATGAAAAATGGATTAAATAGATTATGGAATTTTTCTATGGCTTTTTTGAAGCTCTACTGGTAGCGTAGTGGTTACGAATCGGGCTGTGAACCTTAAGGTCAGCAGTTCGAAACTACCAGCCGTTCGCGGGAGAAAGATGAGGCTTTCTACTCCTGTAAAGATTTACACCCTCGGAAACCCTGTACAGGGTCGCTATGGGTCGGAACTGACTCGACGGCACTTAACAACAACATTGTATAAGATTACACTGGTTTTAATCATGGAAAAATTCTAGTTTTTAAAAGTAAATACTGTATTGTATCTGAAATCTTATAGAGCTAATAACAGGTGCAAGAGTAGGTGGACTTGAAGCAGATAACATTTTATAAGTTTTAAAAGGTCTTTCATTCTGCTCTAAGGAATTCCCTCTTAAAAGTTTCTTATCAAATTGTGAAACTGTTCCATATGTGAGTAATGTGTGCTCTAACAGAGTTCAATTGTCCTATTTATTCTATTTCAATTCCTAGTTGCCAAGTTGGAATGAGGCGGGTAAGTTAAGGTATATTTATATAACAGTTAAATCATAGTTAAGATTTTGGGGGTAAGGAAAATGACTTGGATCAATGGAGTATTAGTAGTAAGTTATGAGAAGCTTCTAGAAAGGACAAAGTCACTTGGCAAGTAACTGGGAAATTCTAGTGATAAGCAAGCTGAGGTCTGTGTAGACTTGGATGTGGGTACAATACACATTTATAATATAATGAGAGAAAATACGTTATGGAAAACGCATTCCTAAGGCAAACTTATTGTTAAGTGCTGTCTAGTTGGTTCCAACTCAGAGGAGTCCTGGTGACCAATAGGAGACTCCAGGCCTCCTATTAGTTGGAACCGACTCAATGGCACTTAACAACAATAAAAGCCTGTCTTAGCAATATTTCCATGATGATGTATTCCAACTCACAGTGTCCCTGTATAGGATTTCCAAGGAGGGGCTGCTGAGATTTAACTGTCAAACTTGTGATTAGCAGTGTAGTGATTACTCTATAGTGCCACACCAGACAAGTGTTACATGAATAAATTTCAGAGACTAATTACTGTTCTTATTAATTTTCACACTTTAGTTAATCAGCTGTGCCTCACACTTCCTATCTGTCTCTTCTGCTTCTTTAAAATTCTTAACAGACTTCTAAGACTGCTGGTGTGATGTTGTAGGATCAGCATTGGACTGAAAACTACAAGGGCGACAGTTCGAACCTACCAGTTGCTCCTCGGAAACTGTATACAGGGTTGCTTTGAGTTGGAACTGACTCAATGGCAGCTAACAACAACAAATCAGGGAAGGCTCTCCATTGAAGTTGGCATTTAAGCATCCTATGAGTATACCTAGCTCCCTTTGCCTGACTCTGTTACTGTACTGATCATGCTGATTGTACATGTTCTCTTCCATTAACTTTTTCTTGCAAACATGTTTACTACATATTCATGAATGAGGTCAAATTTAGTTACTGTTCCCCTAGAACATGAACAAGTTATTTTTTCAAAATCTTTCTCATTCTTTAATACATTCAATAGATCTTTCTAAGTGTCTACTATGTAATATGAAATTGCCTAAGAACTTTCCAAATATTAATTCACTTAGTCAAAAAATCTCATGGAATAGAAGATATTAATATCCTCATTTAGCACAACCTTCATAAAGTTGTATGAAATAGATGCTATTAGTGTTATGCTGATTTTGTAGATGAAAGCTTGAAGTTAAAGAATTTGAGTTATTTTCCTAAGTCATCCATCAAATAATTGGTGGGGCTTATTATTGAACCCAGGGAATTTGCTTTGAGAGTTGATGACCTTAACAAGTAGGCATCATATGCTACTTCTCATTCTGGTAAAAAAATGCATACTAAAATAAATGTTTCTTGGTTGACTTGAAAAACCCACATTGCTTAATTCTGATGATTATCTTTTCACCTAAAAGGGTCTGAGTTGTTCATTCTTCTTGCTATGTACTTGTACCTAAGAATCAAAAATACTAATAACTTTTGCAAGCTGGCATTAGGTGATATGTCTAAAGTATTACCTTTAAAATTAGCTAAAGGAAATACTTTGCATGACATTTTTTTTTGTTGTTGTTGTTGCCTGAAACAAGTTTGGAGTACTTACTGAAAAATCTGGAATCACAAGAAAAAAAAAGTCTGGTAAACTTTAGGGAGACATTATCATAAAGCTTCTCTTTTTTTTTTTCCCCTCTTCTTGGATTCAATACAGTTAGTAGTTTAGTGTATCTAAGGAAATTCTTCCCTATATTGAATATACGGGCAAGGCATAGAGGTGATTTTGCTTTAACGAGGCTCCTGTCTCGATAGGTTCTTGTGTAGATTTGGAAACTTCTGCTTTAAGTCATTTGAATTTCATAATTTATCCAGTTACTAAAATAAGTGAGGGGTTCCTGGCATGAAATTGTTAAGCACTAGCCTACTAAAAGAAAGGCTTGTGCTTCAACCTCACCTAGAGGACCTAGAGAGAAAGGCCTGAAAATTTACTTTCAAGGATCACAGTCATACAAATTTATGGAGAAAAGTTATATTCTACAACACATGGGATCTCCATGAGCTAGAATCAGCTGAATGGCAACTGGTTTTAAAATAAGTCATTCTTAACTTCTTGAATGAAAATTTTAAAATCATCTAACATTCATGAAATATTTGGTAGGTATGGTAGAGAAAATTATTTTATCATGTTCCTAAAAGAGAGATAGCTAAAATTCCTTCTATTTGATTAGGAATGTGAACCTCAGTTTTTATGGCTGAGTATGTATATGTCTTTAGAGAATTTACTTACTTAATATATGAGTGTTTTTATAACAATTAAGTTACAATATGGAGAGATTTGTTTGTTTAAACCAATATGTATCACACGTGTATTTGTTATATTTAGGTGATCTTTGCTCTTCTGATTAATGCATTTACACATACTATTTTTGACAATGATGTTCAACTATCTTTATCATGAAAAGGATTGTTTATATTTCTAACAATTCAACAGGTAAATATTTGATTTTAAAGAAAACATTTATTCTCATAATCTGCCCAATATTTGTAGCTAGGAGAGTCTTATACTCTATAATAAACTCCACGGTATGCTGGTCAATATGATGTTTTACCACAAGTCACAAACGTGCTTCGTGTTTATGATAGTGACCAAGGAGTTGGTGTTGTAATAATCATAATTTTCTTCACTAATGGAGTTCAGTGGTTTTTGTGTTTTGTTTTGTTTTGTTTTCTTGCAGCTTGCATGACACATGAAGAGAACAATCCTTTTGATCAAAATCACTATATGTCTATGCAAACATTACTTTTTTCGATGAAGTCCCAGGAAACTAAGTATAATTGCATGCATTTTGGGGAACTGTCCACAGTAGGAAAAGAACTGGCTGATCCATTAGTGGCATTTTATTCAGAATGGAAACATTTTTCCATCCAAAGGACATAAGAAACAATAGCTCTTCTGAATAAGTGGCATATTTTCCAAGTAACCTTTTAGTGAGGATTAACTTCTTATGAGGTCGAGTACTACAGTTCATTGTTTATATTCAAATTGTTGTTGTTGTTGTTAAGTGCCGTCGAGTCGGTTCTGACCCATAGCGACCCTGTACAGGGTTTCCGAGGGTGTAAATCTTTACGGGAGTAGAAAGCCTCATCTTTCTCCCGCGGAGCGGCTGGTAGTTTCGAACCACTGACCTTAAGGTTCGCAGCCCGATTCGTAACCACTACGCTACCAAAGCCAATTTCAATTACATTTCAAGAATTCTCTTTTTTTAACAACAATGGAAAAAATGCTACTCACCATAGGCCCAGGTGGCCCATCTTGACCTGCAGCTCCAGGAAGACCTTGTTCTCCCTATAGAAAATAAACATGATTGATTTTCTAAATTAACAAAAGAGTACATATTTACTTTTTTTTGAATATGAAAATCCATAAATGGAAAAAAAGATCACCTATGAATTATACCTGCAGGTAAGCATCTATAAATATTGTAAACATTTTTTAATCTTTTTACTGTGTGTGCATATGCAAATACATTTGCACAGATCAATGTATGAGTATTTGATAACTTTGAATCTTAGAATATAGTTTTCAATTCTGCATTTATAACTTCAAATTTCACCATGAGAGTATTAGATAAATAACATACTTACATATGTTTAGGATTATCTGCTTTTATTATATATTTACTGAACTCACATAAAAATTAAAATGAAAACTTCATACTATAATTTATGAGGTAGGGTTTGCATAAATATTTTCATTTATGAGTTTTTAGAAAAAAAATGTTATTAAAGAAATGGAATCCTGCAGCACAGATACTTACTACAGGGCCAGGAATACCACGTAGGCCTTCGGGACCAGGCTTTCCAGCAGGTCCCTGAGGACCAACTGGGCCAGTTTTCCCAGAAGGACCTTCAGCACCTGCTTCTCCCTGTTAGAATAGAAGAAACATGAATACATTAATATCAATATAAAGCATTTTATTATTTTCTCAAAAGTACTGAAATAGAGGTTATTCAATTTACATACGAGTTTTAAAAGTACAGAATCTTAAAGTGTACTTTACCTTAGCACCTTTTTCACCTTGTCTTCCCTCTGATCCTGTAGCTCCAGGTGGACCCTATCAACATAAAATTTTATTTAAAATTGGTATTGCATATAAAAGTATCACAATGAGGACTTACAAATGCTCCAAAATATTTTTAACTGATTCTAACAAATGGTAGCATTCTATAGGCACTGGGTTTAAAATTTGATGAAGAAACCAAAATCACTTTTGAGTCCAAATTTCCAGTTAGAATGTTAAAAATAAATGAAGCAAAGATCTAGCAGAGTTCAGACAGTTACATCACATCAGTGTAAACAATTATTAAAGAAACAATGTAGAAGAAGATATACACACAAGTTTTAATAAATGCTGATGACTTGATATAGTCATAAATTATGTTAAATATTCATAAAACATTTACTTGTGATTAAGTATTAATTGAACATATCAGATTTCACCTCCTTTGAACATGTGTGGAGTCCTGGTGTGGCACTGCAGGTTAATGCGTTGGACTGCAAAGTCAGTTTGAACCACAGGTCAGTCAGTGATTCAAGGTCACCAGCCACTCCTCAGAAACTCTATACAGGGTCGCTATGGGTTGGAACTCGACGGCACTTAACAACAACAACAAACATGTGACAGGTGAATTATTTCTTAACCTTGTTGTTGTTAATTGTTGAGTAGTTTTTGACTCATAACAATCTTGTGTAAGGTTTCCAAGGTTTTACATCTTTGCAGGAGCAGAAAGCCTCATCTTTCTCCAGCAGAGAGCTGGTGGGCTCAAACCGTGGACCTTATAGTAGTGCACAGTCCACAGCTTATGGTTTGGAGTCACCAAACTCACTTCCTAAATTTATAACATTCATATATTCATGCATTCTTAAAGAATCATTAACAAATTTAACACATACAAATCTTACATCTTGACAGTCTACAGATATTTAGTCTTTTCATTTTCTGGAACAATGTATTTCATATAAATAAGTGAATTAAAGATAGTATCACTTTTTAAAACTAAGCAATAGCGTACACATAGTATTTTAAGTGCTGAAGAGCAAAGATTTCAGTTTGAGGATTAAGGTGCTCTTGACCCAAGCCATGGTATTTTCAATAACCTCATATGCATGCGAAAGCTGGACAGTGAATAAGGAAGACCATGGAAGAATTGATGCTTTTGAGTTATGGTGTTGAAGGAGAATATTGAAAATGCCATGGGCTGCCAAGAGAACAAACAGATCTATGTTGGAAGAAGTGCAGCCAGAATGCTCCTTAGTGGCCAGACTTCATCTCTCATAATTCAGACATATTGTCAAGAAGGACCAATCACTAGAGAAGGATATCATTGGTAAGGTGGAGAAAAAGAGGAAGAACCCCAGGGAAATGGATTGGCAAAGTGGCAGCATCAATGAGTTCAAGCGTGGCAACAATTGTGAGGTTGAGGTTGGCCCAGGACCGGGCAGCATTTCATTCTGTTGTGTGTAGGGTTGCTATGAGTCGGTACCAACAAGATGGCACCTAACAACAAAATTAGAATACAAACACAGATATAGTCTTCCCAATCCAAATGCATTCTAGTGTTTGAGAAACTTTGATATAACCGCATAGTTTATAAGGAGAAATGCTAATCATTATATAAATTTAAAGATAATAATAATGCTTCCCCATACATATAACCACTTATGCAGTATCTCATTATCAGACATTTCATAGTTATGACCATAAAACAAAAGACTACTATCAATTATTTTGTGTATTAAAAATGTACAACTGTCAGTAACACATACTGAGATGGTAGGTGAGAGAGTAATGCTGGCTGTGATGGTTTAGACAATGTGTCAACATGACTGGAACATGATTTTCAGTTACTTGGCAGTTATTTAATGATATAATATTACAGTAATGAATGATCCTCAACGTGGGATGTGAAGATGTGGTCTTCTATTTTCATATAACAACTTGGCCTTTAGAACCCAACCATGTCGATATGTGAGGTTAGTTGTATAATCTCACAGTTTTTAAGGTACGTATTGATCTCATTCCTAAACTTTATTTCTTTTTTTTTACTAGCTGTATGACCTTGAATGAAGTATTTAATACTTCTGCACTTGAGCTGTTTCATTCACAAAGCATGATCAATAAGTATACTCATGCCGTAGAATTGTTAACTAAAAATATTAAAATATATGGGAAGTATTTTGTTAACTTGCAGTATCAGAAAGTGATATGAAACATACTTAATAGCATAAAGCTTGGATTCAATTGGCCTGGATTCAAATTCTAGCATTTTCATTATGTACCTTGAGCAAACTGTTGCTGTTGTTTGATGCTATTGAGATGGTCCCGACTCATGTTGTTGTTGTTACATGCCGTGGAGTCGGTTCAACTCATAGCGACCCTGTACAGGGTTTCCGAGGCTGTAAATCTTTATGGGAGCAGAAAGCCTCATCTTTCTCCCGCGGAACAGCTGGTAGTTTCGAACTGCTGACCTTGCGGTTCACAGTCCGATTCGTAACTACTATGCTACCAGAGCTCCCTATGTATAACAGAAAACTCTGCACAGTTCTACACCATACTTAAAATTACTGCTCTGCTTGAGCCCATTGCTGCTTCCACTATGCCAATCCATCTGGTTGGGAGTCTCCCTCTTTTTCACTGACCTTCCACTTTACTAAGCAAGATGTCCTTCTCCAGACACTGGTCCATCCTGATAATATGTCTGAAGTGTACGAGACAGGGTCTGGTCATATTGGCTTCTAAGAAGCATTTTCGTTATACTTCTTCCAACACAGATTTGTTGGTTCTAGCAATACACAGAACCTTTCAAATTCTTCTCCAACACCATAACTCAAATGCATCAATTCTTCAAAGGTCTTCCTTACTCATTGTGCAACTTTTACATGTATATGAGGCAATTGAAAGTACCATGGCTTGGGTCAGGTACACTTTATTCTTCAAACTGCCATCTTTCCTCTTTATCACTTTAAAGTGGTCTTGTGCAGCAGATTTGCTTAGTGCAAAATGTCATTTGATTTTTAACTGCTACTTCTAAGATTGTGGATGGAAGATCCAAGCAAAATGAAGTCTTCAATGTTTTCTACATTTATCATATTATTTATTGGTCCAGTGGCAAGGATTTTTTTTTTTTCTTTCTTTACATTGAGGTACAACCCATACCAAAGGCTGTGGCCTCCAATTTTGTTAGTAAGTATTTTAAGTACTTTTCACTTTCACCAAGCAAGGTTGTATCATCTGCACATCACAACTTGTTGATGAGTTATCCTCCAATCCTGATGCCACATTCTTTTTCACATAATAGAATAAGTATGGTGAAAGAATACAACCCTGTCTCACACTTTTCCTAATTTAAATCCATTGAGTGCCCCTGTTCTATTTGAACGATTGTGTTTTGATCTACACACAGGTTCTTCATGAGCACAACTAAGTGTTCTGGAATACTCATTCTCCACAATACTGTCCATAGTTTTTATGATCCATGTAGTTAAAAGCCTTTTCATAGTCAATAAAGCACAGGTAAACATCTTTCTGGTATTCTCTTCTATCAACCAAGATGAAAGTGACATCAATAATGATATGCCTCATTCACGTCATAGTCTGAATCTGTCTTGAACCTCTGGAAGTTCCCTATCAATGTACTGTTGCAGACATTTTTGAATTATTGGGCAAAGTACATATCTATAAATACCTCAGTTTACTATCCTGTAAAATGGAGTAATAGAAGTTACCTCATGTGGAGTTGAAAATGTGTTACAACAGTGCCTTGAGCACTGAAAACTGTCTCAGAACTGACTAGACAGTACTTAACAACAAAACAACGTCAAGGAGGTCTGGTAGCATTGCTATTGTTGTTAAGTGCCATTGCGTTGGTTTGGACCTTGTATAGGGTTTCTGAGGCTTTAAATCTTTGTGGGAGAATAAAGTCTCATCTTTCTCCCATAGAACAGCTGGCAGGCTCCAACTATGGACCTTGTGGTTCAAAGTTCAGTGCTTATCATATGGAGCCATGATGTTCCCTGATCAGAAGAATTCACTGTCAACATCTGAAAGAGAGAAATCTTACCTCACTGGTCTAATGTCACATTTGAACAACATCTTGAGTATCCTCTCCAACTCTCAAAATCTAATCTCAGTTAATGACTTTGAATACAATTCATTGAGGAAAGACATAAACATATGGAAAACCATATTCTGAGGGAAAAAATAACTATTTTTATAAACCAATACTTAAAAAAACAAAACAAAAAACTCTCTCTATTTATATCTAAATGTGAGCCATATATACTTATTATCAAATTGAATTACCAACTAATAACAAAAATTTAATCATTAGGAAATGCATCAAATCAAAATGCATCAATCAAATGGAAATGCATCTTTTATAACAAAATTTTAAATTTTAAAGTCCTATGTGCTGTAGGATATGCACTGTACAGCTAACCACTAGATCGGCAGTTCAAATCTACACGGCGCTCCTTGGAAACCCTTATACAGGGTCACTATGAGTCAGTCCTGACTCAATAACATTTAACAACAGCAAAAAAAGAATATATATGGTATGAAGGAGTCCTGGCGTGGCTCTGCAGGTTAATGTGCTGGACCAAAAGGTTAGTTTGAACCACCAAGTCGGTTCGGGTCAGAATGCGATGGGTTGGAGTGACTCAACGGCACATATTGTGAGGTTGGCCCAGGACCAGGCAGTGTTTCATTCTGTTGTATATAGGGTCACTATGAGTTGGTACTGATTCAATGGTAACTAACAACAACAATTTAATGGCACTTAACAACAAGAGCAGTGTTACCAGGATTCCTGGTGTGGCTCTGTAAGATTAACACTGGACTCCTAACTGAAAGTTCATTGGTTCAAACCCACCAGCTGCTCCTTGGAAACAACAATGCTACCGGGGGAGCATCGTGGCTCCATATGATAAGCACTGGACTTTATATATTGTAGTTGTTGTTTAATGCAGATGTAACATATAAAGTACTCATCACATTCAGGATTTAGAAAGTTCCTTGAACTTACTTAATTCTGAGAAAGTAAAAACAGATACCAT